TGTGGTCACCCCACAGGGGCCTGTGAGTGAGGGGGGGGGCCGCCCTCTCGCCGAGCTTTTCTCGCCGAGCTTTTCTCTCCGAGCTTTTCTCTCCGAGTGTCTGCTCTATCGACGGCTGCGGGACGGGCATCGTTCCCCCGGCGCTGCCAGCCATCCTTGGGCTGCTGGGGGTGGGTCTGGGATGTCCCTTCCCTCGGTTAGGAAAGGCAAACGGGAGGTGGGTTGGGATTGCATGCTGGAATCCCCTCCCAACATCAAAAAGACGTGGACCTGTTGAAGGGAGTCTAGAAGAGGCCACGGAGATGCTGCGAGGGCTGGAGCCCCTCTGCTGTGAGGACAGGCTGAGAGAGCTGGGAGGGGTTCAGCCTGGAGAAGAGAAGGCTCTGGGGAGACCTTGGAGCCCCTTCCAGTCCCTCAAGGGGCTCCAGAAGAGATGGGGAGGGACTCTGGATGAGGGAGGGGAGCCACAGGATGAGGGAGAAGGGTTTTAAGCTGAAAGAGGGAGATGGAGCTGAGCTGTGGGGCAGAACTTCTTTGCGGTGAGGGTGGTGAGAGCCTGGCCCAGGTTGCCCAGAGAAGCTGTGGCTGCCCCATCCCTGGAGGAGTTCAAGGCCAGGTTGGACAGGTCTTCAAGCAACCTGGTCTGGTGGGAGTGTATCTTCAAGGTCCCTTTGGGCTCTAACCATTCTGCAACCTGGTCTGGTGGAAGTGTATGTTCAAGGTCCCTTTGGGCTCTAACCATTCTGTGAATCGGTTGGGTTTTGTGGGTGCAGTGTGAGACGGTGAGGTAAAAGAGCAAGATTGTGTGGTTGAGCACCCTTCAGGCAGCTGGAAATAAAGCTCTGTGTGGTGAAGCATGACGTGCATGAGGGGAAGCAGGTGGCAAAACCACACCTGTCTGAGCTTTCAGCTGTGTAGACTTTTACTCAGGTGGCTAAAATGGCTGGAACCAGTTGGTTGGTTAAACTGGCCCAGTTTTCCAGTAGGACAAGGTCTTGGAGTGACTCCTGGCCTCATGTGTGACCTGGACCTAACTGATTTCTGCAGTGACCTTGAGCCAGCTGGTTTTGTTCCTCCTGCTGCATCATTGCTCCCTGTGAAGCGAGGAGGGCAAATCAGTGCAGCCAGTAGAGGGGCTAATTAGTGCTTTTTAGGTAATTGTTACCAGGAAAAAAGTGCTTGAGCGGTCCCACCAGCACAGTGGGGGTGCTCTGCTCCTCTTTGAGTCCTGCAATTAATTCAGTTTATTAAAACACCCTGCTGGCTGGTGAGGAAGGTCCTCTGAAACCAGCTCGCCTGTGCAGTCTCCGTGCTGGGAAGCCACCAGTGAAGCCTCAAGAGCTTTTGCCCACCCGTTCCCCGACTGAATGAGGGTGGATCCAGGGCTATGGCTGTCGGAGCAACCGGTGCCATCTGACCAACCGAGGGGACACCAAGATGCCAAGCTCTCAGATAATGTCAGACTTTGTTGTGTTACTGTGGCTGGGCTGGGTTTTTTTCTGAAAATATCCCAAAACTTGGAACTTGGAAGGTGGAAGTCGCAGCTTTATAACCAACCTGCTAAAAATAGGGAATGGGATTATAATCTTAATCCAGGCAGACCTTTCTTGGGGCTCCAGGGAAACTGTCCTTTAATCTTCTTTTCTGCTTTACCTTCTCTTTAAAGCCTCCCTGCTAATCAGCATTAATTTCGGTTAACTCTTATGATGTCTGTCCTTTGCTTTACTGGTTGTGTTGCTGCCTCCCAGTTAAAATCCAGCACAAGTTTAGCAGGTGGGAGCAGTTCCTCACCCTAGTGACAACGTCCTGCCTCCTCCTTTGGTGCCCACCTTGTCTTTTTGCAGCCCAGCAGGGTCTACGTGGCCGTTTGTCCTCAGTCCCAGCTGTGGCACCTCCCCAAATCAGAGGATTTTTATTAAATAGCCGTGCTGTTGACTCCAGCCCGCTGTGGTTTTGGTGATCCGTGGTGGTTAGGCTGGATCCAAAACCATTTTAGGGCTAACCTGCTGGAGGAGAGAGATGCTTTGTGCTGGATATTTGCAGATTGGCTGCTCTGGAAATGCTGAAATCTGAGCAAAGGGGGAAAAAAATTGAGCTTCTGCTCAAAATAACTACCTACCTGTGTGTTACTGCTGCAGACAGCTTGAAAATGTGACATGTGGTTGCCTTACTGGGCTGGGAACCAAACAGGAGGTTTAAAAAGCCCCGTATCCACCAGATAGGATATCTCAGACTTTTTTTGGTGCTTTACTTGTGGTTTTTGAGGGCTTTGGGTTGCCAGAGGGAGAGATTCCCAGTTTGCCAGGCGGGTGTTTGCTGTCTGCTGCCCACCAGGGCCCAGCCCCTTCATCTGGCAGTGGAAATAGCTTTTTTTTTTATTTTTATCTTGTTTTTTCTCTGCGGCTCTCCAGCAAAAGAGAAGGGATGCATTTGGAGGGAGGCAAGAGGAAGCACCTGCCAGTCTCTTGGTTTATTTTTAGCCTGTTTCTCAAAGACATGAGACCAGTGATTGCAACCCGTGTGTCTTTCCTTACTTTAGCCCTGAATATTTTGGTGAAAAAAAAGAAAATAAAAAGGGAGTATGGTAAAAGAGAGTGTCTCCCTCTTCCCCTGATGCTCTTTCAGGCAGAAAGAGCACCAGGGTGGCACAAACCCTGCAGGGTCCTGCCGTGGAGGTGCTGGGACATGCTCTTTGGAGGCTTGGGTTCCATGTGGGCAAGAGAAGTAGTTTCCCCGTTGCCTTCATGGAGACCCTGAGGTGAAGCGGTGGCTGGAGGCAACAGCCCTGTGGGCTTCGCTCCAAAAGAAGAGGAGGGTTGTCTGCAGGAGGTGAAATCTTGGCTAAAATCAAGACTTGAGTGATTTTCTAGAAGAGCTGCCTCAAGCACACAACCATTGGGTGTGTAATGTGAGCGTAGTGGCTTTATAGCCTGGGTTTTACCCATTGATGTCATCTAAGAGGGCATCCATTCTTGGTGTCTGTGGGCACCACCGCTTCATCCCGTGCTATGTTTGAGAAGGAAGTTGGGCTGGAGACCTCCTGAGGCTCTCTCCAACCTGGTGGCTTCACCCAGGAGGTACCACAAGTCCTTCTGACCCACAGATGGCAGCTCTTTACGTTGGTGACTGCAGAGGACGGGTGATCCATGGGGTTACGTGCAGAGACAGGGATGGTTTGGATGGTTTTCCTCTGCTGAAGTGCCAGGATGGCACGTGCCAGCACCCATTAATGGTGTTTGCAGCTTTACTGGGAGAGCAGGGAGCGGAGAAGAAACCACGAGAGGAGATTAAAGACCAAGCGAGCGCTTGTCATTGGCCAATCTTAAAATTACAGCTCGGTAATTAAGGCTTTAGGCAGCTCACAAATAGCCCAGCTTTCGGCAGCTCGCTCCCCTTGTGAGCCTGTCGCTGCCACGAGGAGCTGGACTTTAATACCTTGGCTGAAAGAGAATAAAAGCAAAAAGGTAAGGATGCGTTGCAGCCACCACTCAGCCCGTTGCTCTTACCCCTTCCTGGAGTCTCTGGGGATGAATTAAATGTTTATAAGTGATTTGAGCAGCTTTAAATTCTCCTTTTCCTCTCCGTGCCGGCTAAAAGGCAGATTAAATTCTGAGGGGGGAGAGAGAAGAAAGCTCTTTTCCCATCTAGCTGGGATGTGAGGATGCAGGGAGGGACCAGAATGTGTCCAGAGCAGTTATTGTTGGCTCAGCTGGGTTGTGGTGGAGGGAGAGCCTTGAAACACCTGGACAGAGTCGGTGGTGGCATCCAGGTGTCACCTGTGGGGATCTCAGGGGCTGTGGCACCTGGGGGACACTTAACAGCAGAAAAAAAAAAAAACAGCTGAGGAAGCCAGTGTGTGGTGAAGGAGCATCATTCGGGAGCAGCCGTGTTGCAAAATGTCCTGGGATGACTTGAGGGCAGTGAACTTTGTGTGGCTCCTCTTTTTTTTTCCTTTTTTTTTTTTTAGGGCTCACCCTGTTTTATTTACATGGGCAAGAGGAACCAGCAGGGGCAGAAGAAAGGGAGATGCTTCAGACAACTCAGCCAGGGGCCTCTCTGCTTCCTTGCTGCAAACACTGAGTAGCATTTTGCTGGTGAGGAGGTGCAGGAGGGAGTGCTTTCCTCTTGGTACTGAACATTTAGGCAAAACCTTTGATATTTGGAAATGATAGAGGACTAAGGGAAAGGTAGGACAAGTCCTACCCAGGAGGCTGAGGGGAGACCTTCTTGCTCTCTACAACTCCCTGAAAGGAGGGTGTAGAGAGATGGGGGCCGGTCTCTTCTCTCAAGTCACAGGTGACAGGACACGAGGAAATGGCCTCAAGTTGCCCCAGGGGAGGTTCAGGCTGGATATTAGGAAAAAATTTTTCACTAAAAGGGTTCTCAGCCCTTGGAATGGGCTGCCCAGGGAGGGGGTTGAGGCCCCATCCCTGGAGGTGTTCAAAAGCCGGGTTGATGAAGTGCTGGGAGGTCTGGTTTAGTGATGATGCTCCTTGTTTGTTGTGTGGGTGTCTATTTTTGTCAGTCAGGTTGATGGTTGGACAAGATGATCTTTAAGGTCCCTTCCAACCTAGAAGATTCTGTGATTCCTCAAAAGAACTTGTTCAGCCTCGTGTTTTTCGGATGATGGAGCCTAATCCATGCACATATGATGACGTCGGTCCCCAGAGAAGGGCTGATCTGGTGGGTCTCAGGGGCTGTGGCACCTGGAGGACACTTAACAGCAAAAAAAAAAAAAGAGGACAGTTTTCTTTCGGAGAGTGATTAAACGTGGGTGTTTTTGTGCCCACATCAGCTGCTGCTGGCGTCTCCTTAGACTTTGTGTATTAATATCAAGAGAGAGGACAGTTTCCTTTCAGAGAGTGATTAAATATGGGTGTTTTTACACCCACATCAGCTGCTGCTGGCGTCTCCTTAGACTTTGTGTATTAATATCCCGTCCTTCTGTAGAGGTTTGGATAAAGCATCCTCGGGGAATAAGGGG